CCAAGTGTCAACAACAACTGACAGAAGAGGAAAAGCATGAAGAATGATGCCACATCCTATGAGCAGGTTGTGACCCAGACCCTAGACACTATTAGCAAAGCTAAACCTGCTACAGAGGTGGTGCAGACTGAAGGGTAGGGTGTCAACCCGAGGAAGGCCCAGGCCTCCGACACCTGGAGGGACACCGCGAGAGGACTACCGAGGGCAAGAGGAGGTGGGCCAACAGAAGCCCAGATTCCCCCGCTGATGGTTGAGCCTCTTGTATTCTTTAAAAGCCATTGAGTTTTGATAATCGGGATTGGAAGCCAGTTGGTCAGTTGTGTCTGGGAGGAGCCCCTCTCCTTTTCACCTCAGGAGGCACTGACCCCAGGGCCCATTTGGGTCCTGGCACTCACTCTTCAGGGGACCTTGGGTAAGTGTCAAGACTCCCCGCCTTGGTTGCTTTGTCCCTAAAATGGAGCAGTCTGGAAGTAATCGCACCTGCAGGGACATCTATCCTCCGTTCCTGAAGTGACAGAGAGCAGGGAAGCTAAGGGACTCAAGAGCCAGAGATTCTCCGAGCTCGCCTGTTCTAGGGACCCAGAGGCCCTAGGCCAGTTCTGGTGGAGCCTGTACTCCGCTAGAACCTGCGTGGAGCCAGGACTATCTTAGAAAGTGCACCCACCCTGGGTAAGCAGTAGAGATTTCCAAGAGCGGCTTCTGCAGGGAGTGCTCGCTGCAGGTTTTACTGTCGGCATGTGTGAAGAGATGCCCCAGAGAAGGCGTTCATTTGTCTTGGAGACTCTGGCCAATCCCGTCACAACATAGAAGGTGAGGCTTGAGCCAGAGGTGTGAGCCGAGCACAGTTAAATTGGGGTGTATCTCCCCCAGCCCGAACACCTGCAGTTAAAGTTCTCCTTAAAATCCAATAGCTGCATCTTCACAAAGACCTTGGAGTGTCCAACTCTCTCCCTCAGAGGCTAAAAAGGGGGAATTCCATGGCTCTATGTGTTTAGGGTCCTCTCAGCCATCTTTAAATAAGTGTCACCACATCGTGTGCCGAGGGCTGGGCTCAAAGTCCCTCTGCTGGATCTTCCTTCTTAAAGAAGGAAGCTGGAGGAGCCACCAGAACATGCACAAACTGGAGAAGGATGCATCCACCTCAGCTTCGGGCTTCTCTTCCTCATTTCTTGCTCCAGAGCCATCCCAGGCCCATCCCACACAGGGAGAGTCTGAGGTTGGCAGGGGCTTGAGGGGAGATGGGGTCAGACCCAGCAATAGGTTAAAGCTAGACAGGTTAAAGCTCAAATCTAAAACGCCCCCAGAAAATTCTCTGCTGCAGGTCCTGGTTCCTGCCCTACCCTCCCCTGGGGACCCCAAAGCTCCCAGAAGCTGTGGCTGTCCATCCAGGCAGGGGAACCTGGGGTCAACTACTAGTGATGTTGGTTTCTCTTACCTAGAATGGGAGGGCCAGGTGGGCCAGTCACTCAGAGCTCACCTGCTCCGTGCTGGCCACAAACTAGAAACCCCGCCAACACCCCCTCTTCAGACCCTAGCTAAAGGGAGCAGCCACAAGAAAGATCCCAGAGCCACTGGTCTCCTCTGACGTGCGGAGGGAGTCAGAAAGATTCGTGACAACCGGAGTCTGAGTATTTGCTCCAACCCACCCACCCACCCACCCATACACACGAATCCTTGCAGGGTCCGGGGGAGGACAGGGTAGATCTCCTTGACTGGTATGCGGGCCAGAGCCTTGCATGGAGGCAAGACCTCGCCTTGAAGTGCCGCAGGGCCAGACAGCTTTGGCCTCGGTGGGGGCAGGACAGCGACGGGAGCAGTCCTTCAACAACTGCAGGCATCGAAGTCCCTGTTCACTCTCGACTGAGGTAGACAAATGGAGAGGATAGCGGCGCCGGCGTTCAGGGGTTTGGTGGGCGAAGCTTGGAGCAAGAAAAGTTTTCTAGGGACAAGCGCCCCACCCACGCACACTGGCAGAATAAGGCGGCGTGAGCTCCTCACTTCGCTTTGCCTTATGAAGGAGGTCGGGGAACTTGGAGTGTTTTTACCCACAAAGTGCTGAAATAGCCGGTAGAGGGTCTTTTATGCGTCTGAGTCTGCGTCTCTGTGTGCCTCTGTGGGTATGTGTGTATGTGTTTGAGGTATGTGTGCTAATTGTGGTGTGTGTGTGCGCGCGCGCGCACATATGCACCCGAAGTGGGGTATTAGACCCCCTTCTTCCCAGCGAGACGCGCGCTGCTCACCATCCCTCTGCGTGCCCCGACCTGCGCCTTGGTAACCTTGCTCCGAGAGCTCGGCGCCGCGAGAACTAGCGAGGCAGAGCCCTGCTCGGAGCAGTGTTATTACTGCTTTTAAGAAAGGGCGAGTCCCGGGTGGCGCGCGGAAGGGGCGGGGTAGCGCCTTTGCTCTGCTCCGACGCCCGCGCACCCGCCTCCTCCAAGCCTCAGCCCTGCGGGCCTCGGCGGGCCTGGCGTCTGCGGGCCTTACGCTGCCAGCCTTCTCTTCCGTGCCTGAGAAATCTCGGTCTTAGTTCAGGAATTTCTAGCTTCCCCGGCCGCTCCTGCCAGCATCGAGCGCCACCTGGAAGATTCCCGTACCCGGGACCGAGCGAGCAGTCCCGGGAGGAGGCGCCTGGCCCGAAACGCGGCTTTCCTCCCCGCCAGGCCGCCCGCCTGGAGAGGACCCTTCGTCCGTGGCTGCTCTTTTTCCAAATGAATTTCAGCTTCGCCGGGGCTTGTGATACTTCGTTTCTGATGAAAATGTGGAAGAACTCCACTGCCCAGGAGTTTCACCGGGAAAATGTTCAGGAAAAAAGGTGGGGGGCGGCGGAGGAAGGGGGGCCTCCTGTGGACCCTTCAAGAGCATCCCAATTTCCACTCCCAGGTGCCTGCTGCCCAGCTCATTTCATTTCCAGCCACCCAGCTCCGCCGCGCCCTTTGGTCTAGGGGAACCTGGCCAAGATAAGGCCGAATTCTACCTAAAACTACATTACCGTCTCTGGGTGATGATTTCCCTTACTTTCGAAAACCCGGGCCCAGGCGGAAAAATGAGGCGGGAGTTTGGGGGCAGCGGGCACCTCGTGGGCCTGGGGGGAGAGGAGGGGTTAGTTGAGGTGTGCATAAAGCACCACTCTCTCACCCTCTCCCCACCTCCCCTCCCCAGCCTGGCTCTTCAACTCGTTATAGATGCTGCCACGTTATCGCCAGAACTGGATTTAAGTGCCTCAAAATTCGATGTTCTTGGGATGTGCTGGTTCCAGAATTTCAATATTTGGTGGTGGGAGGAAACAGATCTCGATAATGGAGGTAAAATTGGAGTACAGAGGTAGCAGAGCCTGTGGAAGGCATGAAGGAACCACCCCAGCCCGGGGCTGGAACCCAGGCAGGTGAGGCGGCTGCCCTCATCTGGAAACTCTTGTGGCACGTTTAGGGATAAGAGCTCATGTTCCCATTTAACTTGAGGCCCCTCCTGGGGCGCTCTACCTTTCTCTTCTCTGTCCTGTGCAGGACCTTGGTCCTCCCTTCTTCCTCCCCACTGTGCACATTCCTCTAGGGTTCAGCTCAATTTCGGGGCTTGGGAGGTTGACTGGGGCAACCTTGGATCCCTGGGACTCGCTCAGGCATCTGGCTGTGCCTGGCTAGAGAAGGCTAAATCTGGGACCTCTACTCTGCCCTTGCGTCCAGAAGTCTAGAAGAGAGATCTCTGAATGTGCTCAAGCGAATGGGTGAAAGTGGGGAAGAAGCTAAGCAAGACTGGGAAGCTGCTAGGAGCCTTCTCACTCTGGCCAGGAGACCTAGGGTGCTTCCTAGGATCACTGACCTCAGCATCTCTGCAGCCAGTGAGAACCGGCTCCCCCGGCATGGATGGTGAGCCTGTAAGAGGGCTTGTGCCCTCTCCTGAGCTCAGTGCCAAATACACCTGGGTGTATTTGGTCACTGGGTGATCAAGTTTGTCAACAACGTCTATTTGTTTTAAAATCTCCCCAAAGAGCTTTTTGCCAACACTGGACATTTCCTAGTTTCCAGGGGAGGAGAGCCAGGGAAGGACAAGCCTTGGAGAGAAGTTTGACTCTTCAGCCTTAAAAAAAAAATAAAATCTTCGAATGGCCCATCCTAGTAGCAGCGTAGGGACAAAATGGGTTTGCTATATTCCAGCTGATGGAGAAAGTGCCTCTCAGCTCCACGGTTGGGTGGGGGTGGGGAGATGGGGGAGAGAGCTCAACTGGGCACCTTTAGTGGCCTAATTCCGAAGGAAGCTTGTGTGTGCGTGGATTTGGGGGTGAGATGTAGTTTGTATACCCAACCCCAGCCAACTGTGAGCCTGGAGGCCTGAGTACTGGTGTGGGTCTCTGCCTGGTGTCACCTTGAACAAGTCACCTCCCTGCCTGCAATTGTTTTGGTATCTCTAAAATCACTTCAGGCCCGTACTTCCAGCCCTGACCACTGCGGTCTGTCTGTCCTTTCCTACACGACACTACAGACCTGCCCAGTCCCCCTACCCCATTCCTGAGCAACCAGCAGTTTGCGCTGGAATTGCCCCGCTGCTCCCCCGCCGGCACTGAGCATCCTCCTTGTGAGTACCAGCGTGGCTAGACTGACACTGCCCCACACCACCCGTTTCTCCACTGCAACTCTGCATACTCTCCAGCCACGGAAAGCAGGCGTGCACACGCATCACGTCCTCCCTCCAGGTGGTGAAGCCATCAGCCGGACGGGCCTAACAGAGTCTATGGCCAACTCGGCTCTCAGGCCACACTCAGGGTCGCGCAGCACGCGTTCAGCGGCGGTGGGCGCCGGCTACAGGCTACGAGGCCTCTGAACTGGTGGAAGCCCCAAGCCCCGACGCCGATCTCTGCAGCAAGGTGGCTCTGAGGTTGGAGCAATTCCCCCCAAAACTCTAGTCCCCCACTTCCAGCTGCTGCGACGTGCAGAGCCCCGGGGCTAAGGTCCGGGAAGGAGACCCCTGATCTTAACGCCCGAATCGCCCCAGCAAGCCAAGCGGCCTTTACAAACCGTAGTAAACATTTTATTTACAAGTCTGTGGCGTCCTAAGTGCCACACGTCTTTGCGCCACGACCGCTAGCGCGGGGAGCAACTGTTCAGTCAAAGGCTTCACAGTGTGAGCTGCTTGTATCCGGGGAGAAGCGCGCGGCTGGCGCTGGGAGCCTTCGGCGGGGGCACTGAGACTCCCCTCGGCTCTGTGCAGTGTGGGCTGCTCCAGCCCGGGGCAGCGAGGGCCGAGATGTGAACGCAGGGAAGGAGGCTCCACCGCTGCGTCTCCGGCCCTGGCCCCGCCGCCAACAGAAAGGAGGCACCAAATCCAGCCCACACTGGAGGGCTGGGAGTCTGCACGCAGGGCCCCGGGTCCCCTCCGCCCTCGTCCGGTCTATAGGCCGCCGAGCGGTGCCTGGGCGGGCTCGGGGCTTTTAGGGGCGCTGCTGAGGGTGGGCTGAGGCGCGGGGAGCAGCTCCGAGGCGCCGCCGCCGCCGCTGCCAAGGCTGCTGGCGCTGCCCGCGCTGGTGCTGCTGCTGCTGAGGCTGCTGAAGCCAAAACTGCCGCCGCTGTTTCCACCACTCCCAGCGCTGCTGGCAGCGAGGAGGGCGCCGGCGGCCGAAGCCTTGATGACCGTCGTTTGGTGCAGAGACCGCTCAGCCCCCTCAGTCCTCTCCGTGTCGCTGGGTGCCATGTCCAGAGACTCGGAGTCGCTGCTCTCGCTCTCGGCGTCGCCCTCGGAGCGGCTGGGGCTCCGCTCCTCCTGCTCGCCGTCGGCAGCCGGGGCTCCGCCCGACGGCTTCTCGCCTGCCTCCTTATCTTTGTCCTTCTGGGCCTGCGCCTCCTTGGAGTGCCGCCACTTCATTCGCCGGTTCTGGAACCACACCTTCACCTGCGCCGCGCCCCACGGGGAGACAAGAGGGACACTGAGATGAGACACAGGCCCGCTCCAATCCGACTAGCGTGCACCCGCGTGTCACCCTCAACGGTGGGAAAGCGCCGCTAAACGTCCTCAGCACCTCTACCACGGGCCGGGCACTGTGCTAGGCGCAGGGGCCCAGAGGAAGCCGAGGGAAACAACGACATCGCCAGGGATCCTCGCCTTCGGAACCCGCTAGTACTGTTTCTCAAAATGTGATCCTCCAGACCTCGAGCCTAAAACGACCTGGATGCTTGTTGGAAAGGCAGATTCCTGCACCTCGCCCTCAAACTACAGAGGATCTCTACTCTAAATCGATGCTTCTTAACCACACTGGAGTCAGGACTCCCCAAGAATCTAATTATGGACCCCTGGCCCAGAAAAATGCACATGTACCCAAGATTTTGCACACAATTTCAAGGGTTCGGTGAACCACTGTTAAGAATTCCTGCTAAGTCGGCCCCCTCCTCTACTGTCACTACCCAAGGCAAGTCCCTACACAAGCAATTCTTTTTAAGGAGGAACCGAACCGTGGGAAGTACAGAAGGGAAAGGAGGTTCAAAGAGTTAATCCCAGTGGGGTGTGGGCACCGCTGGACCTTCAGTAAAGAGCATTTCCTTGGCCTGTGTGTACTCAGAAGCTGATAAGGACTTGCTGTTTCCCGGGATAAACTAATCCTTCTGTGGGCTCGGAAAACGCTGGAATTAAACCTGTGCAAAGTGGCGAACGGGGGTAGGGATGGGGCAGAGATTCTATATAAATATATACGATCCCCTGGGGGACCCAATGCGTTCACACAAGTTCCAGCTTCCCTTTTAAAAATAACATCCACAGCTGGTGGAAAACGGCTGGGCTCTTCCAGTGTGTGTGTTGGGGAGGGGAGTTGTGTAATGGACGACAGAAAGACATAGAGAGATGGGGGTGGGGGGGCCGAAGGGAGCTATAAAAAAGTGCCTGCCTTCGGCTTCTGCCCTGCTAGGAACATTCAGCACCCAGGGAGCAAGGGCCACTTCTGTGGGATGTGGAAGAAGGGCGAATCTTCTATTTGCAAAACTCAAAAAGAAAAAAAAAAAGTCCAGTTCTTGAATTTGAGAAAAGTAAAAAATTGAATTCAGAAATTAAATTCAGGCACAAAAAAATTGCTCTTGTCTTGAAAAAATTCAAGTAGGCAGAACCCGCTGAAATGCTTTTGGGCGTTCTAAGAAAATCTTTTTTTCTTTCTCTCCCTCACTCCCCCCGCCCCACGCCGGAGCAGTTCTTCAGAGCATTTGCCGTTAGAAAATCAGACCGACTGTGGCCGCTCCAAGCAGACTCCTCGCCCTACTGGGGCTAAGCAATTCCGTTTGAAATGATGTTTTCACTTCCTCACAACTGGGGATTTCACAATCCAGCAGCAGCAAAAGGAGGAGGAGGGAGGGGGGACGGGAGGAAAAAAAAACCCTAACAACAATCTCTTGACTTTGGATTTTTATCTCTTCTGAAATAAACTGCCTCCTACAGCGTATTGCACTACAGTCGAGTACATACTTATTATCTCCCGCGGCCTATTTGCTTTCTCCGCGGTTCTTTCGCCTGTTGGCCAAAATAAACACACTGTGTTTGTTGACATACATCTTTGGGGATGGGCTTTTCTTTCCGTCCTTCTTCCCCAGCCCCCTCCTCTCTCCTGCCTCAAGTTGGGAAGAACACAAAGTCTCGTGAAATTCAAGACCTTGTGTTTTCACCGCAAAAGGAGAGTGGGTGGGCAAGGAGGGGGCCTCGCGGCTGGGCGCGCGCTGCTGCTGCGCCCGAGGGGGCTGCGCGGTGCAGCGGGAGCTGACTTACCTGCGCGTCGGTGAGGCCCAGCATCGCCGCCAGCTGCTTTCTGTCCGGCTTGGTCACGTACTTCTGAATCTCAAACCTTTTCTCCAGGCCTTTCCTCTGCAGGTTGGAGAAGACCGCCCGAGACCATGAGCGCTTCCTCTTGTACGTCTGCGGCATAGTGTCCTTCGTGAGCACGGCGTAGGGACCTGCCGCCGGGAGGGAGCAGGAGGCAAAGAGAGACACGAGGGCTGCGTTAGCGCCCAGTCCGCGGCCTGCGGGCCCGGGCTCACAGTACTGCTTGTACGTTGTGCGTTAACAGTCAGCTCTACCCCGTTCAGAAAGCCCTTCAACGCAGACACAGAATGGCCTCTCTAAGGAGGAATTTTACAGCTCTTAAGACGGTAGTCAGTCGCCAGGCCTGACTACCGTGAGCGTGGAGTGGAGAAGCCCCGGTGGTTCGTCGATTAATTCCAAAGGAAAAACATAAACCTAACGCCTGGCCATCAGGCATGCGAAGGGTGAGCGAAAATGTCTCTCGGGGCCGGAAGGATCTAGAGGTCGCAGCCTCGATTCTCCACTGTGTGTGTGTGTGTGTGTGTGTGTGTGTACTTGCATATGCGCCCACGGGCGCAGTCCAAACCTCCTCGGGCAAAACTGTTTGAAGTCATTCCAAAATGCGTGTATGCTAATAAGCAACACCTCTTGCAGCATTTTCAAATCACCCTCTCGGGAAATAGACTAGGGAAAACCCCCACCCCACCCCACCCACCCACGCACACACTTTCTTGGCTCCCCAGGCCCCCCACCCCTTTCCCTCCCGGGAGCCGACCGAAGCGTGAGCCACCTCACTGAGAAACCTTTCGGTTTCTCTCTCCGAACTTGGTCGCCTCCCGCACCAACTCCGGGATTGCTACACCGCTGTCGCCACGTGAGGCGTCAGTCTTGAGTTTTCCATCCGTCGACCCTCCCATTAGGCCGTTGCTCGGGAGGGTTTCCGTACCTGGAAACGTGTCTTGAAATTGATGTTGAACTGAATTTCTCGGGTTTGAGCTTAAGGGACTCAGGATGGCAGAAGCCTCGTTAATGGGATCTAGAGATGCGAAGAACTGGCCGGTGGAGGGCTGCAGGCCCGGGAGGTGGACCCCCGCGGGCCGCCCGCCGGTTAGCAGGGACGTGAGATCTGGGGATGAGGGAAAAGAAGAGCTGGTTATACCTCAAGCAAACCCACACTCTCGGCTGATTTGTTCCTCTCCTCCCCTTCAACCTCCATTCGGTTTTCCTGGAGGGAAATCACGAGAGACGCCTGTCTCCGCACCTGAAACCCCTCTCTCCCGACAGTGACCGAGGGGGGTGCACGAAATGTTCCCCTGCATGTGCCACACGTCCACGCCCACACATACTACAAGGAAGGGCTTTACATAAAACGGCCAAAAACGAAGTCACTTTCAGGTGCCTTCCAAGAATTTCACAGACCTAAACTCTCCGCCCGAAGGAGCCCCCACTCTGCTGAGCTCTCCCCTCTTGGGAGTTCAGAGTCGATTTTATCTACATTCCTTGGGTAGAATTTCACCAGAAATCAGATAAATGGAAGGAAAAGTGTTCCCCAAAAGGGCTTTCCCTGTCAAATAATAGAGTTCTTTCTCTAGATATGTGATTGAAGAGACAGACAGATGATAGTTATTTTAGCAAATATTTACACCAACCACTTTTATGAATATTCATTCTGTGACGTGTGCTTTTAAAAGCATCCCTGGAGTCATTTTTTTTTAATTTTTTACGTAAAACAGGTGAGTTTTAAACCTAACGTTTCATAGTCTTCTTACAATTCATTTTCTTCTCCCTCATTTTATCGATTTGTCCTTAATTCTAAAAACACTCAGAGGCACCCCAAACTGGTCCAGGGACCTGAGAGTGCGTCAGGGCCCTGATCAGAGGCCTGCAGCCTCTCGCCCAAGACCTTACCTCTCAGCGTGTTGCCTTCCTTGACTTTGGGGTCAAATTCTGCAGACAAAATGCGGTCAATTCCAAATTTGAGGTCCTTGCTGGAGGGGGCCGGGGCCGAGCCGCTATGGTGGGGGTTCGGGACCACCCGCGCCCCGGAGGCCGGGGGCTGCAAAGCGCCGGCCCGGGGTGGAGGCGGAGGCTGTTGCTGCTGTGGTTGTTGCTGCTGCTGTTGTTGCTGTGGGTGATGGTGGTGGTAGGCGGCTGAGAGCGGAGACAGCCGCTGCGGGAAGCCAGCCGGGACTTCGGAGGGCGCCACCACCGGGGTGGGTCGAAGCGGGGATCTGGCCGCAGCTTGGAAAGAGGCGTGCGGGTGAGCCGAGCCCAAGTGCGCGGTGAGGGCGGCGGCCGAGGCCCCTGCCAGGCCCTCCGGGGCCGCCCCCGGCTCCCCCACACCGGCGTGCAGGATGTCTGCGATGCAGAAGGACGGTTTCTTGACCGCAGCGGGGTCCAGGGGGAAGGAACAGCCGCCTGGGCCGGCCGGGGAGCAGTAAGCGGCCGACCAGAGGCTGAAGTTGGAGGCGTAGAAGGGAGCCAGCCCGGCGGCGAACATCCTGGCGGGGCGCGCCGAGCGGCCGCCCTGGCCTGGCCGGCCGGGTGGACGGGTGAGTGCGTGCGCGGGGAGGGGCGCGCTGAGTCCGGGAGGAGGCGGCAGCCCAGCCGAGGACGATCCGCTTTCGCTTCTCCGTCCGCACTGAAGACAGGCCAGGGAGCCCTAGCGCCACCGAGGGAGGAGGCGAGGGCCGGATCCCCGCCGGTCACAGCCTGGGCCCCCGGCCTCACTTGAAAGGCGGCGCGACGCCCGCGCTCCCCGCGAGCTGGAGGCGAGCTAGGGGCGCTGGAGCGGCGAGGCGGGCGGGGGCCGCGGCTCCGCGCACGCCAGGGAAGCCGGGGAGACAGGGGCCGGGCACCGAAAGAAAAACCCAAACAGCTAAGCCCTCAGAGCTAAATTTAAAACAACAACAATAATAATCCGTTAGTTTAAAAAAAAAAAAAGTAATAAGAGGAAAAAAAAAAAAAAAACTCCTCTCTAAAAACTCCCAAAGTTTTGGCAGGAGCTTTCGAGTCAGACGCAGGGTAGGACCTCGATCCGAGCACTCATTGGTCATCCTCGTGACCAATGGGAGCGGGGACAGGGGGGGGAATTGGGAAAGAGGGGCGTGGCCCGCCCCCTCAGCCACGCCCCGGCCACGCCAAAGTGTTTGCTGCTGCCGCGTGGGCTGAGCCGGGTCGGGGGCGTCCTTCTCCGCGGTGTAAGGGCCAGGGTGGCTCTCCACTCGCTTCTGCGGCTCCGAACCGGCCCCGGGCGCGGAGACTTGGTCACTGCGCTCCTGGAGCGCTCGCCTGGGGAAGCTGGTACTCCCGCCTGTTACCGCGGGTGCAAAGCCCGCCTCCTGGAACGCGCGGGCGGCCCCCTTGGTTCCCTCCTCTTTCCTTCCCTCGGGCCGGATTTTCCTTCTCTCGGCCTTTATCCCGAGAGTCGGTATCCTCTGCAAAGCTCCGTCTTTCGTGCGCCCCCGCCCCCACGCAGCCCAGCCCGGAGCTCTCCCGCAGGAATGCTGGGGCCCTGAGTCCCCGCCCAATTTTGCACCGCGTCCGCCTCGCTGCCTCGGAGATCCTCAGGGAAGAGAGGAGGGGCGGTCGCAAATTAGCTTTATTCCAAGTTGTCACACAGTGACAAGCTGAACGAGTAACTTTTCAAACAAAATAAGATGGATGTCTCCGAACGTCTCCCTTGGACGCAGCCAAACCTTCCCCTCGAGCCTCAGAGACAACAAAACAGGCCGCCGTCCCAAACCCGGGAGAGCGGCACACGCGTCCCTCTCCTCTGCTGCACCTTGTAGGAAATGTCACCCTCCCTCCTCCGCCACATCCCCGGATCACGTGGGGTCCGTTGTTTTGCAAGTGCCCACAAGAGCAGATTTCCTTGGGGTTAAATACTACTTTCAATTTAGTGACTGTTTCCCCCAGAACCCCTTGGGCCTGGTCACAGTGAAGCTGCAGTGATGGCCACCGTCTCCCATTCGCTTCCATTCGCACTTTGGGTCTTTAGAGCGCACGGTGGGTGTAGTGGGGGGGTTTCTGCAACATCAACATCTCTATTTTAAGAATTCGTTCTCTTTTAAACTATAGTCAGAATGGATTTCCCCACCCCTCTCCCAAACAAACCACAGGCCACCCAGATGAGCTCTTCTTGAACATTTTCAGGAAGAAAATAAAATAATAACAATAATGAAACCACGAAATCTTTTGTTTTCGATTGTCCTAATAAGCATCTCCTAACAGAGCTTCTGTGCTTCTGTGGCACTTTTTCACCCCAAAAAAAACTTTCAATGTAGTTTCAATAAAGCTTCTGTGGCATTTTTTCTTATTTCGGTTCAGCACTAAGGCGTCTTACCAAATAAACACCGGAAGGCAACTGAACTTGCCATGCGTACCTCGAGTTCACGATTTGGGCTAATTAAATTAATTTCTAGTGGTTTCTAGCCTCTTGTTGCAGATGCTGTCATTTTAAGCTTTTGACTTTCTCCTGGAAAGTAAGCAACCACTTCCGACCAGCCAGCGCTGAGAACTCACCCCCTCCCTCTGTCTCGCTGTCTTTCTGTCTCTGCTCCCTCTTTCTTTTACTGAAGAGTTTTTCTGACCTGCTCCTTGCAGCCAGGACAGAGGTGTTATTTCCAGAGATGGAATGAAGGGGTGTGATCGGCTAAGGGCACGGGCACCAGAGGCGAGAGACGCTGGAAGCCCAGTCCTGTTTCCAGCCAGGGGCAAAGGAGTGACAAGCATAAGGCACTTGGGGCGTTAGACCCTCTTTGAAAGGCTGCAGTGGAGGCATTGCATGCAAAGGCTGAGGATTCTGGCGAGAGTCCGGTGGGAGGGCGCGGCCTCCCTGTAACTTCACAGCCTTCGGGGAAAGTGACGAGTGTGAGTGTGTATAGGGGCGGCCATAAACCTCCTCTTCTTCTCTTTTCTAGTGTCACTTCCAAATCGGTTGCAATTCCAATTTGACTGCAAACATTCAAGCCGCGGCCTAAGCCCAAACTCACGGTTCTAAAAGAGGCGCATTTAGGCCTCACCCCAGGCGGTCCGCCTCCCAAATGAGACGCAACCCTTGTGGCTGGGCGCGGCGGGGTGCAGCCTGGGCGGAACACGGGCCCTCAGGGTTTCCCGCGGCGCCCACAGCCCGCATCTGCAGCACTTCAAGGCCCGGAGCAGGGCAGGCGGACGAAGGCGAGGCCCCGAGGGCGGGTTTTGCCGCCGACTCCTGGCCCCGCCGCGCGCTGGTCTCTCTCTGCACGGCCTGGGGCTTGATTGTAAATTGCAACTTCGCCCGCTCGCCCCTCTGCTCTCCCAGCCCCTCGGCTTCACTGCAACCGCGTCAGTCCCACCCAGGCCCACCCGGGGCTCCCGGAGGGAAATGCGAAAAGGGAAACCTTTAGAATGACCCCCTGCCTCGCCCCACACTCCTTCGCTAGGCCCAGGCCTCGTCTCTGCAGGCCCCTCGCCTTCTCTGAGCCCGCAGACTCCCCTCCTCCTTAGTCCCCACCCCTCAGAACCAAGAAAGCAGCAGGAAACCCTGGGCTCGCCGGAGTTCAGGTCATCTCCTGTTTTTTGATGGGCTCAAACTCGGACTAAATGAGCGGATGTGCCTGCGAGATTGGTCTCAAAATAGAAGCGGCCTTAGTATTTTAGGATACTGCAGAAATCCTTATTTCTTCCGGAGAAAAACTCTATAATGACTCCTAGCACTTCCCCTTTCAATATTTGTGCAACTTTATCTCCACCGACAAGTTGCTCGGGTGACGCAAATCCGCCCCTGTGTATTACAACTACCAAAATAAATGCGCGGAAATCAATTCCCTTCTAGCAATGAAAATGTAAATATACAGCTGCGACTTTCCCCTTTAATCTTTGCTTTCCGAGCGGCTCCGGGCTGTGGCGAAATGAACTGGTCCACAGCAATTGAGACGGGCGGGGAGGCCCTGGGGGCAGAGGCGAGGGCTCCCAGAGGCTGGTAGCCACGAGGCTCCAGGATCCAGTGGGAGTGGTCCTGAGGACATGACTAAACCAGATTAACTTGAGCTTAAAAGTGGCTGCGCTGTCCTTTGAGGAACCTCAGTTGTAAAGATGATTTAGTCTGAGGCTTCATAGCTACATCAGCAAGTCAAATTGACAATAGAGCAATAGAAGTAGTCGTTTATCTGAAACAGTTTTTTTGGGAGGGGGGACGGGGGAGATGCCACAATGGCAGGGATTTCTTTATCAATTCTGATGGCTGTCTTTAATGCATACAACTCTCCTCTTTGCCTGGGTAGAAACAGCCACAAATTATCTCACCATACTGGAAACGGACAATGGCAGAGAAGGTCCATTTTATAGTGTAACAGTATGGTTTATGGGAATTTAGCATTGCAAGAAAGGGCCTAAATCAGAGGTTTAGGCATTGACTGAAACCGGAGATGGGTCCGCTAAGCCTTTGGTTGTCCCTGTCTTCAGAGCCTCCATACTTACATCACCAGTGCAAATTCTTGTCCTAAACCTGGGGACAAAGATAGACACCATTGAGCATAAAAGCTCAATGAGAGTGTATGCTGAGCCTTGCTTATTACAGAAACATAACTCTGCAAGGGCTTAAGCTGTCCAGATCTGCTATCTGCTTTTGTTTTTTCATGTAGACTCTGGCCAAAATAATGTGAAAGGCAGTTGCTCTGTGGGCTTGGGACCCTCCTCCCCTTAATTTTAAATATTCTTTCAAACATAGTACCACCTGGTTTCAAAGAAAGAGATGGAAATAATTAAATATTCACAGAAAGAGAAGCAAACCTAGCTTACCCAGCTATTTGAGGATATAAGAGATTTGCAACAATGTAGGAATCTGGGTATATGCTGCCTGTCATTCTGCCAGCTGAAAATTTATAGACTGCTGGGCTAGTGCTCACATTTAGTGGTAGGGGCCAGATTATTGTTCTCTGTGGATGCTAGATACTAGGGTTAAGGGCACTGGAGATTCCCCACGTACATACACACACACGTACTCACGCCTTGGATTATTCTAAGTAGATCACAACTCCCTTTTCCTGGAGACCTTAATTACTCCAGAACTAAATAGAGTTCCTGAGTTTTTTGAAGATAATCAGACTTTGGTGTGGGGTAGGAAAGGCATAAAATAGGTAGGACCTTGTGGCAGGAAAAGGATTTATTCCTTTTCCTTTTTTCCATTTCCTGGGTTGGCAGACTTGCAGGGGGCCATCTCTTTATGTGGCCAGGGCCCTGCCCTTGACCTCTTGCCCACAGATCTGGCTTCAGAGCCTCAGACAGCCTTTTGAGTCTGATCCCATTTGCCCTTTCCTCTCACAGTTTCTCACACATTTCCTTTCCCCCATTGCTAGGATATCCCACTTCACTACGTGTACCACTTCTCTCTCTTACACACACACACACACACACACACACACACACACACTCATATGCTCACTGCAGATCTTAGAGACTGGGGAGAAGGGCAGGCAGTTTGGGGTTTGCTCCTGTTGCAAAGAGCTACTTGCTTGTCTCTCCAAGTCATCCAGCCAAGAAAGACCTCTGACCTCATAACACTTAAAGGTAGAACCCATTTCAACATGGCACTTTGTAACATAAGATTCATATATATTTGCAGTGAAGTCATGTCCCCATAAGAGTAAAATATGAGAGACCGTCTTTACCATGTAAGAGATTTAGTACTTCATTCAACGGGCTTCTATTTGGTAGCTGGACACAGTGCTCACCCACTCCCAATATTTTAGCCATTTGCCTTGTAGAAGCTGGATTTGTTGCCTGAAATATTGAATCTGAATAGCTGGGGTTTCTAGTGAGCGAGTTGAATGTTAAGATAGGAGAAGGAGGTGTAGGTGAAAATGGTACATTCAAACAACTCTGGTGTTGAGAGGGAGAGAAAAAAGTCCCTCCCAAAGTAATATTTATCTAAACAAATGAACAAAACCTTCCGTTCCTTCGAGACAAGTCTCCCAAGTTAGAGCTCAGGTTCTGAGGACAGATGAGGGACTCAGACCCAGACTAAGAGGCAGGAATGGGAAGAGACTGGCTCATGAAGCCAATGAAAAGGGCTTCGTAGATGGAGCTGAAGGGTTGTCCCCATCTCAGTGGTCCCAGTCGGCTCACCTGCACCCCACCAGAATTGGGACAGCTCTGGATTTGACGACAGAATCCTGCCAGCCCTGTCTCCGCCCACCA